TTCCCTCCCCCTTTCCCTCCCATTCCCCCCACATTATTATATATTTTTTCCCGTTACCTTTTCCCTATTTTTCCCCCGCAGCAGCCGACCCGCATCGCCGCCGAGCCCCCCTCCCAAGATGAGCCCCCTGCCCGGCCGCCCGCGCCCGCCGGCTTCGCACCAGGTACGTGCGGCCCCCCCGGGCCAAAGCGGCCGGAAAACGGGAATATTTCGTGGCACGCTCCGTCTGTGCCACTCGGAGCGGGACTTGCAGCTCTGGGGGCAATTAGGAACTCGCCATGCCTTTTTTTTTTCTTTTTTTTCCCCCCATTTTGCCCCTGAAACTCCCGTTTGGGGATGTTTGGGGATCCAGCCCTGGATTGCAGCTGGAGCTTGGAGAGGCACCAGGGGGAGGTTCCCCTGAGGGGGGGAATTGGGGTGGAAAGGTGGATTTCTGGCGCTTCCTTGTCCGCCGTGGCCTTAGCGGCCGCTTCCCTCCGAGGGAGCTCCGGGACGGCGGAGCGGCKGCTTTCGGAATCGCTCATTCCTGCCACGTTTCCCCTCCTTTTCCACAACATTCCCAATTCGGGGCCCCTTTTCCAAGATCCACGTCCTTACAGCCCCCTCGCGCCTCCGTTTCCCCCCAACGGCGGGATGTGGAGCCGCTGAATGGGGCTTTTCCCACTTCGCTCCCGCCTCCGGCCCCATCCCGGCCGTTCCCGGGACGCCCGGCAAAGCGCCCGGCACCCTAATGCGGAGCAGATGTCTCCTGGTCCCCTGCCAGCGCTGCTCTTCTTATCCCAGCCGGATCCCTCCCTCCTTCCCGGCCTTTGGCTGCTCCCCCTTGGCTGCCGTGGGGTGTCCCAAAAGCCGGGGGGCGTCGGGGACCCGCCGTGGTGCCCCCTGCACCCAYGGGTCTGCATCGAAGCCCCATTCCCAGAAACTTGGCCCCGTGCGGCTGTGGGTGGAGGACGAGCCTGTTTTCCAGGCCCTCTTGCTTCCYGCGGTGCATCCCATAGGATTTTCATCCCGGAGTTGGAGCAGGGTGGGGGGTTTGCTGAGCCTCGAAGCCGCCAGAAGCAGCAAAGAGCACTTGGGGACGGATCAAATGAACTAGGGGAACGTGGAGGGGCCAAACGGAGCCCCCGGCCCAGCACTCGCGGTGCCGGCGCCAGGGCCTCGAAGTAATCCCGGGAATTTGTGCAAATCTGATTGAGGCGCCGCGCGGCTCCGGGCGCTCCCGGGGCTGCTAAGGAGCTTTGGCCGTGCCGACCTGCCGCGGAGGCTCCTGGAAGCACTAAGGAGATGCTAGGTATATATATATATTTTATATATATCTTATATCTCCTCCCTTCTGTAGCCCAAGGAGTTGGGTGCTGTTGAGTGAGGAAGAGGAGCAGGAAGAACCAGGTTGATTATCTCCCTTYTGGCCCTTTTGGATGCCTTTTATTGCTCTTTCCCCATTTTATATCCACCAAACACATTTCAGAGACAAACAGCTTCCCATCCTCAGCGGCGTGCAGGGCAGGAGAGCAGAGGCCKAGGGCAAACGGGGAACGGGGAGGCCCCATTCGGCTCTGTGCATCCCAAGGTGGAGGAGCTCCGAGGGCTGCCGCGTTTTGCCCCGGGCTTCCCGGGAGCCGGCAACGCGCCCAAGCTTTCCCAAACCAGGAGGTCAGGTTTGCTGCCTCGCGTTTTGGGTGGCTCTTCCGTAGGGATGTTTATGGGCAGAGAGCTTTAATGGGATTTGTTTCTTCCCTCTGCATCTCCAGCCTAATGAGAAGGTGGTTGGAAACGTTTCTGTGCGTCACACCAAACAGGCTCGGGGCGTCGAGAGCCCTTCCTTGTGCCCAGTTTCACAGCAGCTTTCTCTCCAAATCCTCCCCTGCGAAATTAAGCCAAAGAACATACTTTTTTTTTTTTTCCATTTTATTAATTTTTTTTTTTTTTTTTTGTGCTGGTGTGCGGTTAGTTTGAAAACTGGAGCTCTTGGGATCTTGTGGGGAGGAAAATCAGCTTCCTTGTGCTCGCCGGATCTTTAGGATCTAATGACCACAAGTATTTGAGGCATGTGGGATTTGTACCAAAGGCAGCGGCGAGCACAGAGGAAAATGTTGTGTATTCCTGCTGTGCCGACAGAGTGAACGCTGCGATTCATTTTAATTCCGACCGCTGAACTTTGCTCCAGCTTTTAATTTTATTTTTTTTTTCCCTAGCAGTTAGCGCTTAAGTGCTTTTCAAACAAGAAGAGGAAAGTGGCAGTCGTTTCTGCACCTACCTGGGCTTTTTCATTCAGCAGGAGCTTTTGGGGAGAAATGTCGTGGATTTTCTCCAGCCCATCTCCAGCTTCCACTGGTTTTCGGCCGGCGMAGCTAAGCCGGGACCATTGCTGATGAAAAAAAGAGAATAATAATATTGGTAGTCATAATAATATTAATAGTAATAATGATATTAACAGCAACAAGGTRGTGCCTGAGGTGGGCACAGGGAGCCCGCTGGTGTCCCCGATGCGGGTGCTTTATTTTGAAAAAGTCCTTAAGTGCTAATTGGTGCTGAGGGCTGTGTGAGTGGGTGTTAGTGCCTGCGCTTTGAGGGGAAAAAGGCCAAAAAAGGGCCATTGTGGTGGCAAATGCGGGGCTTGCTCCAGAGCAGTGCGTGGCTGGGGCTTGTCCCCCGGCACCCTCGGGAGGTTCCACTTTTGGAGTATTAATGTCAATGTTGGTGCCAAAGGAGCGTTTAATGCAGAAAACGGAGCGCCGGGGGTGCAAGGAGCCCGGCTGCTCCCGGAGTCCCGTTGGGGCTTTGGGGCAGCGCGTGGGAAAAAAACGGCGATTTTTCTCGCCCCCCGTCTCACGTTCTGCCTCGCTCGCCGCTTTTCCTCTTTTTTATTTATTGCCATGGTAACGGGGAGGGGAAATGGAGATTTTGTGTCATGGCCGCGAGGCGCCTGGCGCTCGCCAGGAGCGTGGCGGGGCGACGAGGGGGGACGGTGGCGCGGGCGCCCTCCCTTCGCGCGAGGCTTGGGCGCCCCGACGTCGCGGCGGCTCCGCGCATCCCGGCGGGAATTCCTGCCCTTCCTCAGCCTCATTCCTCTCCGCGTGGTTCTCTCTGCAGCTCTGAAGCGCCCGTGGCCGCCACTGCTATGGGAGACTCCGGCGCGGAGCCGGCCCCGGGGACAGGCTCGGATGCGGCGCCCGGCGCCGGCGCGCAGGGCAATGGTGGCACGTCCCTCAGCGTCATCACGGAGGGCGTGGGCGAGCTGGCGCTCATCGACGCCGAGGTGGCCAAGAAGGCGTGCGAGGAGGTGCTGGAGAAGGTCAAGCTGCTGCGCGGCGCTTCCCTGGACGCCGAGAGGGACCTGCCCAACGGAGCCGGCGGAGACGCCTGTGAGATCCGCTGCCTGGACGAGGACGCGGCCTCGGGGATCCAGGAGGAGGACGAGGCGACGGCCAGCGCGCTGAAAGTGGCGCGGCGGCGGCAGAAGAACAACTCGGCCAAGCAGTCGTGGCTGCTGCGCCTCTTCGAGTCCAAGCTCTTCGACATCTCCATGGCCATTTCCTACCTGTACAACTCCAAGGAGCCCGGCGTGCAGGCCTACATCGGCAACCGCCTCTTCTGCTTCCGCAACGAGGACGTGGACTTCTACCTGCCGCAGCTGCTCAACATGTACATCCACATGGACGAGGACGTGGGCGACGCCATCAAGCCCTACATCGTGCACCGCTGCCGCCAGAGCATCAACTTCTCGCTGCAGTGCGCGCTGCTGCTGGGCGCCTACTCCTCGGACATGCACATTTCCACGCAGCGGCACTCCCGCGGGACCAAGCTGCGCAAGCTCATCCTCTCGGACGAGCTGAAGCCGGCGCACAAGCGGAGGGAGCTGCCGCCGCTGAGCGCGGCGCCCGAGACGGGGCTCTCGCCCTCCAAAAGGACTCACCAGCGCTCCAAGTCGGACGCCACCGTCAGCGTGAGCCTGGGCAGCAACCTCAAGCGCACGGCCAGCAATCCCAAAGTGGAGAGCGACGAGGAGGTAACGCCGGGGGGGTCCGCAAGCAGCCRGCGTGGGGAGGGGTCCATGGTGGGACACGCTTGCCTGCTCTGTCCTCATATTTCCTTGGGTATCGAGCTCTTGTGCTCGTTCCTCCAAAGGCTCCGGGTTTTGCTTCCTGTGTCTCCAAGCAAAGCAGGAGCGTGGGGTGCGGCTGTCGCCGTGTGTAGCTACAGGCGGACGCTGCCCCGCGCGGCTTGTGCCTGTGCGTTGTTCCGCGCGGCTGTGCGGTGCTCCTCGGCGCCGYGGCCGCGGCATCGCGCCTCCGCGGGGCTCGCCAACCAGGGCTCTCCCGCTCCGAGCCTCCTCTGGGTTTCTCCAAGGAAACGGAGGCTCCGCGAGGGGATTTTGGTGCTGAGGGAAAGGGAAGGGGCTGGATAGCTCTGCAGCTAAGGCAAAAAAATGTGGATTCGGAGAAATGGGCGGGTTGCTCCACTGCTGGATTCCCACCGGATTTGGTGTCCCGGTGTCGCAAGCTGCAGCTGCCTGTCGGGTGCCGAAAATCCCGTTTCTCCCTTGTCTTGACTTGTTGGGATTTAGCAACAGGGAGTTGGAGTCGGAGGTGGCACCATCCCTCCGCGCTTGAGGATCTGGAGCGGGTTGTCCTCTGCCGATGGGAAGAGGGATAAAACCACGCTGGGGTAAAACTGTGGTGCCAAAACGAACAGGGATTCAGTAGGGGAGCTTGGGCCGGGTTTTCCAGGCAGGAATGGCTTCTGTGGGACTCGGGACATTGATTTTTAGGAATTGCAAAGTTGAAGCTTTGCACCGGGGCTGCGGCGTCCACACGTGCCGCACACGGAGTTATTTGGATCGAATCGGCGCGAAAAGGCCCCACGTTGCTGGTGATGGTGGAGTATTCCGCACATTTCCCGCTTTGCCCAAGATTTCCTCACTCCCGGGCTCTGCGGCACGCAGGGAATGGGAATGTCCACCTGCCTGCCTCTATAATGCAGCAAATGCACATTCAGAAACCACCTCGGGCGGGAATTTGAGGCCCTGGGGATGGTCCTGAGGGCTGGAAATGCTCCGGACCCCGTTAGCCCAAGGGCTCCTGCTGGCTGCAGCGGCCGCATCCGTGGAAAACGCAGCATCCCATGAATGATAGATGAAAGCAGCGCGGGGGATAGGTTTCCTCGGCAAGCATTGAAGTGTATTTTGATCCTTCRGCTCCTTCGGTGCCTGGCCATGGAGATCCCGGAGGTGCTGCAAAACTTCCCTGGCCTCTGCAGCTCCCGTAGGTTCCCATCCCATTCCCAGAGCTTCTTGGAGAGCAGCCTGCTGCTTTATGGACTGTTCAGCTCTGTTTCTTTCTCTCCAATGTGCAAAGAAAAGGAACGCTGCAGGCGGCAGGTCGGGCTGGCGACGGTGCCCGTAGTTGGGAACGGGGCTGAAATCCGGAGGGGTCTCCATCCGGGCCGGGATGGGCTGATTCAGACCCAAAGCGGGTATTAAGGCTGCTTTAAAAGGGAAAAAAAACCCAAATCCTGCATTCCTGGCAGAGCTCCGTGTGTTATTCCGGCAGTGGGATTTGCACCTGGAGCTGCTGGATTAGGAAGGAAATCCCGGGAAAAAGAGGCTTTTCCCAGCTCTTTGCCACCCTTGCAGTTCCTGCAACGCCAGGAGTTGCTCCGGCACCAGCACCATCCTTTTCCCCGCGGGATCAAACACCCCCTTCCCCCTATTCCCAGTTATTCCCGCTGCCGCTCCATGCTCCGGAGCCGGGGGGCTTCCTTTGCAAGCYGATAGATCCACCAGCATTGGGCCACACGGCTCCAGGAGAAGAGTTTAATCAGAAAGCTGCTAATTGCACCAGGCCTTGGGAAATTCGGGTGTAAAAGCTGAGTTTTGGGGAGTTTTCCCCCCTTTTTTCCGCCCGGCATGAGCTACCTTGGACTTTCCCACATTAAAAGCTTTGGGCGCTGCCTTTGGCAGCCGGGGTGGAGAYGGGCGCCCTTTCACCCCTCTGATTGCGCCTTGGGTGCTGCTGCTCCCAGCGCTCCCTTTCYTGCTTTGGACACCGTTGGGATCCTCCTTTGGACACCGTTTCCTTTGGAAAATCTGCCCTCCATCACTACTTCCCGACAACCCGACTTGGGAAAGGCACATGGAATTGGAGGGGATCATCCAAGTGCTGCTTGGGGCTTTTAATCAGCGCTCCCTAAAGCCCCACAGTAATTAACTGCCTGGCCAGGCCTCTAATTAGTGCATTTGCTTGCGTTTTTGTCCATTTAAAGAAATATTACAATTATGCTTCCTGCTTAATATCGGTTGCGCCCAACGTCACCTTTCCCCTGCCCAGGATTTGTGCCGAGATTTAGTCTCCAGCCTATTGCCCAGCTTGAGAGCGCGGGGGAAAAACCTCRGTGCTGCTTAATCCCAGCCTTGTAGCGTGCGGTATCAAACGGATAATTTAATAATCGGGCTGGATATTTAGGCTGGATTTGCTTTGCAGGCAGGGAAGGGATGCTTCAAGGCGGAGGACTTTGTAAATAAATTATTTTAGTGGTGTTTTAATGGGAGGGATGTGCCGGATTCTGGAGTAAAACCTCGCCTGCAAAATGGTTTTCTGCTCCTTCAAATTCCGTCTTTTTTAGTCTTTAGGAATGTTGCTTTTTGGGGGGTGGGATTTGATCCAGGAGGGAAAAAYCAAGGGAAAAAAATCAGTGTTTTGGGGCATGAGCAAAACAGTGGGCGGCAGCTTTAGTGATGGTGACAGGGCTAGAAAAATCCCCAAAAGGCTGGAAATTGGATGAAAACCTGTTGCTTTTTGCGTATATAACAATAGGAACTGCCGCTTTGCTGGGAGTCTGATGGGCCCTGAGTGTTTGGGAGCTCTGATCCGGGATCTYATGGGAATTTCAATGGAAATTTCAATGGGAATTTCAGGGGGAAATCCCGTCCCATTGGGGCCACATCCCGCGTGTTGCTGGCATCGCGGGGAGCAAAATAGGGGGAAAAAACCCACCGTGGTCATTGCCAGCCCCGAGCCTTCGGCCTCCTCCTCCTCCTCCCGCCGTTTCGCCAACCGCGGAGCCAAAACGGGCGGGAAAAGCCCCAAAAAARCGGGGCAAAGCGCCGACCAATCCCATCTCGTCCCTTCCCCAGGAGCTCTCCTGGAGCGCGGACAGTCCGGAGCGGTGCCTCCGTTCCGTAAGTGGCCCCGTTTCGTGCCCCCCGCCAGCAGCATTTCCTCTGGGCCCCCTAAAGCTCCCTGGCCGCCCCCYATAACGTACGATTTTAAAAATATATATATTATATTTTATTTTATTTGCATTGCTTGCGCCTGCTTGCCCCCGCCAGGCAGCTCTGGGAATTTCCCCGTGGATCCGTTTGGATAAAAGGAACCCCCCAAGACCCCCCGATGGAAACCCCACGTGCGGAGGGGGGGGGGGGTCCCGTGGCTGCCGCTGCTGGATTTTGGGGGAGAATCCYCGGATTTTGTGTCGGGCCGCATGAAAGAGGAAATGCTGTTTCCTTGAATTTTCACTTCCAATTTCTATGCCAGATGGGATTTAATTTGCTTTTTTTTTGATTTYCCCCCCCCAATCTTTATTTCCCCTCTTTTGAGCTGAGTCTTTCAATCAAAAAGCCCCGATTCGCCTCTTGGAGCCTTTTTCTTTCCCAATGAACCTTTTTTTGCCSCCCTCCTTGCCTGTGATCAGCATCATCTTCCTCATGTGTGCCCTTCCTTTGCTCCGGAGCCTCCCCGGGCCTCCCCGTGCTGCATGTGTGATCCGTGCCCAAATGCGCGACAAATCTCACCAAATCAGTGCCAATTGCAAAGGAAATAATTGCAAATTAATGCACTTTCTTCCCCCRCCGTGTCCTGCATCCGCTGCGTGCACCTATATATATTTACATACACGGAACGTGAGGCTTTTCCCCCCCATGTCTGCTCGGCTGCAGGCTCCGTTTCCATCCCGATTCCCCCGTTTCGAAGCATTCCCGAGGATGGGAAGGCGCTGGCCCTTGCRGAGGGTTTTCCCGGTTTGCTGCTTTATTGCTATTTTCCCTTTCCGGGTTGGGAGTGGGAATTTCGCTCCCGGATTTCGCCTTCCCTGGTTGCCTTGATGTGGGATTTGCGCAGCACGAGCGAGCCCGGCCCCAAAGGGCTCTCCCCGCATCCCAAGGATGGCAGCAATCCCGGGATATCGGGCTCGGCAGCCGGGAAACGGCCCGGAATGAGAGGAGGATGGAACAGAACTAGGGAGCATCCCTATGGAGCGGGGAGATCCTGGCGGAGAGCCTCCGTTTAACGCCCTTGGTAGGAGGGAAGTCCTTATATTGGTGCCGCGCAAGGAAATGATCCAGGGGGGAGTCGCAGGAGGGAAGGAGGAGCCCAGAGCRCCTGGGATACGTTGGGAAGCGGAGCCGGGAGCTGCCGGGGCCTGGGAAAAGCTTGGGAGAAGCGGCCGCTTCCCTCTGGGCCTCGCGCCGGCCCCTGAGCCCTGGGAATTGGTTGCCTCTCCGCCGGGGCGCGATCCCAAATTCCCACCGCCTCTCCAGGTAGGAAGTCATTCCTCCCGAAAGCCCGGGGCTCTCTGGGGCCCTTTATCCCAGTGGGACCTTTTTCCCGGGAGCAGACGCTCCCCAGAGGAGCTGGAAAAGGCAGAAGTGCTGGAAAAGAGCAGCCTTGCAGGGTCATTCCCCTTCCCAGCAGCAGGATTTTGCTCGTGGACTRCAGATCCCAACAACTTCCCAGGCGTCATTCCCGCAGAGGGGGCAGCTCCGCTGCTCCCGCTCCCCTGGAACCCCCCCTTTCCCGCTGCCTCTTCCCGCTTCCCGCCGCGYGCTCCGGTGCATGTCCCGCACGGCTGTGGCACCGGCACTCGGGGATGGGCCGTGCAGGAGCGAGCTGCCGTTGTTGATGCCCTTTTTTTATGGATATGGATGTAAAATAGATATAATTTCGGGCTGGGAAGACAATCCGCGCTCCCTCTGCTGCCTGCGGCCTTGCGGGAGCTGGGAACGCAGCCRGAAAGGGGAGGAGGAGGGTGGGAGGAAGGCGGCGGGTGGGAGGAAGGCGGCGCTGGGGCCTGCTGCTTTGGTGCCTCCCGGAGCGGCGGGCACGGGGATCCAGCTCCTTTTCCAGGCGGGATTCGTCCCGCTGGGACACGGGCGCCCCAGGGCAGCATTCCCGTGCCCGTTCTCACGCCCTCTCCCGCTCTTTGGGCAGCCCGTGCGCCTGGCCCCGGAGCGCGAGTTCATCAAGTCGCTGATGGCCATCGGGAAGCGGCTGGCCACGCTGCCCACCAAGGAGCAGAAGACGCAGCGCCTCATCTCGGAGCTCTCGCTGCTCAACCACAAGCTGCCCGCCCGCGCGTGGCTGCCCACGGCCGCCTTCGAGCACCACGTGGTGCGCGTGCCGCACACGCAGGCCGTGGTGCTCAACTCCAAGGACAAGGTGAGGCGCGCGGCGCGGCCCGGGGCCGTCGCGCCGCAGCGGGGCTGCCCCCAGCGCTCAGTGCTGGCTGTCTCCGAGGATGGAGTCTCGCCGGCTCTGTCCCCTGCGCAAGGGGCTCTCAGGAGCCACCGGCTCCTCGTGACGCCTGGTCCCCCCCGGGCAGGCTCCCTATTTAATCTACGTGGAAGTACTTGAATGCGAGAACTTCGACACGGCCAGCGTGCCCGCTCGCATCCCCGAGAACCGCATGCGGAGCACGCGCTCGGCCGAGAACCTGCCCGAGTGCGGCATCACGGCCGAGCAGCGGGCCGGCAGCTTCAGCACCGTGCCCAACTACGACAACGACGACGAGGCCTGGTCCGTGGACGACATCGTGGAGCTGCAGGTGGAGGTGGGTCCTGCCCGGGGCTGCGGGATGCTCCTGGTGTCCGGCTTGGCCTCCGCGGAGGTTGGGATGCGGCCTCCCGCCGGCGAGGGCTCACGCGCGTCTCGCCCCGCAGCTGCCCGAGGTTCACGCCAACAGCTGCGACAACATCTCCCAGTTCTCCGTGGACAGCATCACGAGCCAGGAGAGCCGGGAGCCCGTGTTCATCGCGGCCGGCGACATCAGGTGAGCGGCGGCGGTGGTGATGGGCGCGCGCGCGCCCCGGCCCCTGCCGCACGGCCCCCGTCGTCTTGCAGGCGCCGCCTCTCGGAGCAGCTCGCCCACACGCCCACGGCCTTCCGGAGGGACCCCGAGGACCCCTCCGCTGTGGCCCTCAAGGAGCCGTGGCAGGAGAAAGTCAGGTAGGGCTGGGGACGTGGGCGCCCGGCGCCGCGGCGTTGCCACAGATGGGCCCGGGAGATCGGGCGGATCATTCCCGTGGGAGGGATGTTGGTCCAGGACGCGGGGACAGGGAAGCGGATGGGTGACSATGTCCCCGGCTGCAGCAGCTACCGCTGTGGCACGTCCCGCGGTAGCCTCGTCCCTGGTCCTGGCCTGGGAAGTGCGTTTCCAAATGCCAAGTTTCTCCCTGGGCAAGAGGGAGAGCATCCCGGGCCTCTCCAGCCTGGCTCAAGCTGGGAGGTTTTTGTGGAGAACCTGGGGATGGAAGCGGGGACCAGGGTTCATTTCCCCCTGCTTGCCGAGGTGTTCGTGGCTCGGAGCAGGTCTGCGGTTTGCTCGGGGATTCGCTGTGCGGTTGTCGCAGCCCGGGGCGCTCTTAGCACCCAGAATGACCCCCCGAACCCCCTGCCTTCTGCTCCCGCTCCCACCCGCGGCCTGCAGGAGGATCCGGGAAGGGTCTCCCTACGGCCACCTGCCCTCGTGGCGCCTGCTCTCCGTCATCGTCAAGTGTGGGGACGACCTGCGGCAGGAGCTGCTGGCCTTCCAGGTCCTCAAGCAGCTGCAGGTGAGGCCGGGAGCGAGGGGCCGGCCCTGGCGCCCGCGGGAGCCTCGCGGGGTCCCGAGGGATTCCCTCTTCCTCTCCCCTAGGCCATCTGGGAGCAGGAGCGGGTGCCCCTGTGGATCAAGCCGTACAAGATCCTGGTGATCTCGGCCGACAGCGGCATGATCGAGCCCGTGGTCAACGCCGTGTCCATCCACCAAGTCAAGAAGCAGTCGCTGCTGTCGCTGCTGGATTATTTCCTGCAGGAACACGGCAACTACACGACCGAGGCCTTCCTGACGGCGCAGAGGAACTTCGTGCAGAGCTGCGCCGGCTACTGCCTCGTGTGCTACCTGCTGCAGGTCAAGGACAGGTGAGTCCCGCTCTGTCCCCGCGGCATCCCGGGAGCAGCCGGGCCGCGGCGGTTCCTGGGCTGGCGCCGCGGTCCCGGCTTCGCTGAGCGTTCCCCCCGCCCAGGCACAACGGCAACATCCTGCTGGACGCGGACGGACACATCATCCACATCGACTTCGGCTTCATCCTCTCCAGCTCGCCCAGGAATCTGGGCTTTGAGACGTCCGCCTTCAAGCTCACCACCGAGTTCGTGGACGTGAGTGACGCAGGGACACGGCAGCCACGGGTGGCAGGGAGGGACCCTCGAGCCCGGTCCAACCTGGGGCGGCACCAGTGGCGCCCCTGGGTCCATCCCAGGACGGGACAGACCAGGTTAAGGCTGGAGGGGCTCTCCTTGCCGTGCGGCTGCGCCCGGAGCCGATTCCCCCGGGGATCCCGGTGCCGCCGCGGCCGCCGGAGCTGCCCTCGGGTCCCTCCTGCTCCCCGCAGGTCATGGGCGGCCTGGACGGCGACATGTTCAACTACTACAAGATGCTGATGCTGCAGGGCCTCATCGCCGCGCGGAAGCACATGGATAAAGTGGTGCAGATCGTGGAGATCATGCAGCAGGGTGAGCGCGGGCGCGCGGGCGCGCGGGGCCGCCGCGCGCGGCCGCCCTCCGGCCTCACCGGCGCCCTTCCCTCCGCGCCGCAGGCTCCCAGCTGCCCTGTTTCCACGGCTCCAGCACCATCCGCAACCTGAAGGAGCGGTTCCACATGAACATGACGGAGGAGCAGCTGCAGCTGCTCATCGAGCAGCTGGTGGACGGCAGCATGCGCTCCATCACCACCAAGCTCTACGACGGCTTCCAGTACCTCACCAACGGCATCATGTGAGGCCGCGGCGGGCCGCCGGACTTGGGGC